CATATTTTTCATTTGTTTCCTGTAGTGGCATGTATTAGGGTGTAACATGAAATTCTAATAGGCCTTTTAATAAAAAAAAAAAGCAGAGCCAGCTATTGGGGTAAATGCTGAAAGATCAGAGAGACAAAGGAACAAGCGAGAGACAAAGGAACAAGTCACTGCCACCTCTTACTTCTAGGACTCCTCAGCCTGAAAAGACTTCAGTTCCTGTCTCCTCATGCCTTATATACCTTTCTCCACCCAGCCATCACTTCCTTCCCAGTGCTGGGATTAAAGGCGTGTGTGCTTCCCAAGCAAAGGCATGAGATCTCAAGTGCTGAGATTAAAGGCATGTAATTCCCAAGGACTGGGATTAAAGATGTGTACCACCACTGCCTGACTCCGTTTCTCTCCTAGACTGAGTCAATCTCATGTAGTCCAGGGTGGCTTTGAACTCACAGAGATCCAGACGGATCTCTGCCTCCCAAGTACTAGAATTAAAGGTGTGTGCCACCACTGCCTTACCTCTATGTTTAATCTAGTGACTTGTTCTGTTCTCTGATCTTCAGGCAAATTTTATTAGGGTATACAACATATCACCACATTAGGGGTTAGAATCATGGGCACCTTACTAGTGGCTACATCACTGAAGTAAATTTCTCTCACCCTCTGAAAGCATTAACTACCTATAGATCCTTAGGGAGGGGCAAAATTTCATGAGCCTGTTTCCCTAGCAAACGTAACCCTCTACCATTCGTCAGGAATGGGAGAGAGGCTCATGAGCTGTCTACCCTCTCCTTGACAGATGGTGAGGGCCCCGTCTTCTGCAGGCATGCCAAGGCTGTGCCATGTCCTAGAGACTAAAGTCCACACCCTTCACCCTTTCTTCTACCTCTTAGATTCTTCCTTCACTTTCTTCCTTGGAGTCCCCTGACCCATGGAGTGGATGATATGCCTGTCTCATTTAAGGCTTGGATTAACAATCACATGTTCTCAACACTTTGGCCAGGTAAGAATCCCTGGAGTACCTGCTACCAGACACTTCTCAGGCCAATTCTGACAGCAGCACTAACTTATGGGCATAAACATAAATACTTAAAGAAAATTTGACCTTATACCCAAACTTGACATTTTAATGTGCTAAAATACACAAAAGTGAACACAGAAACCATCCATCGGGAGCTTTTCTTGATTATAGAGTTTTGATCCCAGTCATGTTTATCGCTACCCACATTTCCTCTTGACATTTCGACTTTCTTGCCACAATTGGAATGGACAGCATTCAGAGATGCTGCTAAACCTGCTAAAATGCACAAGTAGCTCCTTGCTAAAAGAATTATCCAGAAGACAGAAGCCATAATCCAGAGCTTCAAGAGTTCTGCTTTGGAAGTAGGTACATCCACAGATGTACTCTGCCAATATATAGATTTATGCAAGCTGAACTATGTGGGCTGATATAGCAGAACAGGGAACATTTACATTTCACCTTTTAACAAATCATGTGCCGGGCGGTGGTGGCGCACGCCTTTAATCCCAGCACTCAGGAGGCAGAGGCAGGTGGATCTCTGTGAGTTCAAGGCCAGCCTGGTCTACAGAGTGAGTTCCAGGAAAGGCACAAAGCTACACAGAGAAACCCTGTCTCGAAAAACCAAAAAAAAAAAAAAAATCATGTAATATAGCTCTATCTTTTCCTTTCTTTCTTGAAACATTCCATTGTATTCATTATGTTTAGTTTCTCTCATTCCAAGAGGCAATAAACTTGACATTGTTCACCTACAGGTTTCTTCCTAAAACTATGCTCATCAAGCTGGGTAAAATTGGTGACTTGGAATGAGATTTTTCCATTGTGAGAAGAGTTTCTAGGGGAAAGAGCTGCTCTAGACACACTAAGAATGAGAGTGGAGGTGAAGAGCATCTGGGCAGAGCCTCTGAAGGGTAGCCAGATGAGCTGAATGAAGATCCCAGTTTACCAGGATCTACAGTTAAAACAATGCAGCATGCAGTAACTCTGCCTTTCATTTCCTTGAACCAACAGTTTCTTCAATACCTGGAGCCATAAATTGTAGATGATGGCTCAGCATTGGGGCCTCAAGCTCTGGTAGAAATGACTTGTTCAAGAAGCTGGGTGAATTTGGTTGTTACAAGAGCAGCCCATGCCAGCCAACCTAGCAAGCATAGTACCCTTGAAGGGTGGCACCCACACCCAGATTCAGTGTCCTTTCCAGGTAAATTTGTACCTGCTGAGTATCCTCCAGGAAGCAAAATCCAGATGCAAACACAGATTGAATTCTGAATAACTTAGACACAGAACTTCCAAATGTCTCCATTGGCACTTGGATCATTTAAGCTGTATTCATTGTGTATTTGGTATTTTCATAAATAGTTACTATTTGGGGGTACCTAATATGTTGAAGGCAAATCATATACATTTTAATACCTATAGGTACATATGAAGAATACTTAAATATCCATAAATCAATTGAGCCATGGGTATTATTCTTCTATTCTGCATGACTGCAATACAAAATGGCTTAGGCCACATTTTCAGAGACCTAGAACACAAGGTCCATCCCACAGACCTCTGAGCATGCTACTGAAGCTGGAGGCATCAGTCTGCCACTATTAACATTTGCCTTGGGAGTGCTCTTCAGTTTCTGCTTGCCATGTATGATTGTTCTGATGGCCATACAGTGGGTGTTAGTGAGACAGATGACAGGCTAAGGGCACTCCTAGAGAGTGACAAGAATGCCACTTTCTAACTTCCCTTTTCATGGATCCCAGTTTCCCCTAAATATAAGATTATTTTTTCTCCACCAGAAGACCACTAATTCTGCTTCCAAAGTAGATGGTTTTCTCTTTGCATTTCATCCTCAGGACTCTATTGACTCAATGTTTTAAGGTAGCATACAAAGTAATGGGTTTCCTAATGACATGTCTCCATGTTCTTGGTTTCTAATCAAAGTGCCAATCACCTGTCCCACCATCTGTCCTCATCTCGTAGGTCTCCTTCTTTGTCCCCAATTGTCCCTGTATAGAGTCACTCTTTTTACCTCTTTAAGGACTGAGCCTCCCATTTTATGGTACCCTTCCTAGTTTCATGTCCTACACACAAAATTACACAAGAACACAAATTTCAATGTGGTTACTCATTGAAATGGAACTTGAACCGTCTGTCTTTCGACACTCGGCTTGTTTTGTTGGCCATGATCATTTGTCAACCCCTCTGACTCCTCTCTGCGTCCTCACATAGTGCTGAGTCAGAGATCTCTGGTCTCTTACCTCGCCACAAGGCCACCAGTTCAGTTCATCAAAGCCATATCCATATTTCCCCACATTACCTCTCTCACCCCTAGGAGAGCTACACTGGGCATTAGGCTCCTACATATGATTGGTGTATGAGATGGATGTATGACACCACTTACCTCATAGCATCTGCCATGCAATATTAGGGAAGTCTAGACCTGACTGCAGCACATACAGATTACGTGTCCCTTGTCTACATTGCTCCAGAGCCCTAGGTCTCATTTGTACCATCTGTGTTCTTCAGATCTGAGCCTTAAATCCCTTATTCTCTAAACTCTTCTGGAGGGAAAGGTATCCTGACTTGTTGGGAAGTCAGGCTATACCTAAAGCTGGGACGTGGTAGGGATGATCCTTTCCGAGAGAGAGCTGTTACAGCTGAGCTCTGCTCTGCCCCCCACAAGGGAGCTCCCCAGCAAAGGTATCCATTTCTGCTCTGCTCTCTCTGCTCCCAAGGGAGCTTCCCAGCAGAGACTCTCCTCCTTGCCAGCGAAAGATCACCCAAAACTCTTTTAAGAAAGGAATTTATTTGGGAAGGAGGAATCCAGGAGAGTGGCTGCCTCTGCCAGGATGAAGAAGGACAGCTGACAACCCAACAGGCAGAGGGGCTTATGTATGACTTCTTAGGGGTGGAGTTTTTCCAGGGAGAAGATGTTCTGCTTAGGGATTGGTTAGTTTAGTTGGTCAGGGGCAGAGCTGGTGTTTCAGGGCCAAAGTGTGTTTCTTTCACTGGTCCTTTTTAGCTTTTTGGCTCTAGTCTCAGGGCCATGGTGTATTTCTGTTACTGGCTCTGGTTTCAGGGCCAGGGTGGGTTTCTTTGGCTGACCCTTTTACCCTACATCTTCTGCCTTTGATGCCATTCAGGCCTGACCTTGTACTTGGCATCTGTTAATGCTTTAGCCTCTAGTCCCACACTTGTTGAACCACCTTCCTTAGATTTCGGTTAAATAGCTACTTCATCATCTATTCATGTTCATATAAATTCTAAATCTCTCTCAGTGTGTCTTATTTTTTCTTCTAGACTGACACCTTGAGCCCTGGTCCTATTGGGTATGTTAGTCAGTCAGAAGGCAGGACCAGCCTCTCCTATATGCTGCATGTATGGGAAAAGCATCCATCGACTGAACCCACTGAAACTCTAGGCCCAAAGGAACCTTTCTTCCTTTATTTTCTCAGGCAGTAACTACTAGTCCAGTGTAGCTCAGTGGTAGAGCACTTGCCTTGCACGCAGAAGGACCAGGGTTCAATCCCTAGAATCAGATATTACAACTTCCAAAAAGGTAAGATTAGAGTATTGGTCTACACTGAGCCTCGGGCTCTTAGGTAAATGAAGGTCACATGTGTTGTCAAGAATCCAGATTCTCCTACATCACAGAATTTGGATTTGTAACCTGTGTACAGACAGGGGAGAAAGTATGTGCTGACCAGAAAATGAAGTAAGATGGTTGTGACTAGACACGTTTCTAGTGGAGCATGGCAGGTAACATGATCATAGTGATGACATGTATATGTGTGTGCAAGCACAGAGAAATGTGTTAAAATAAACCAACAGAACTCTGCTCAGTAGTCCTGGGCAAGGGAAGGGCAGTGTGCTTCAGTGCAGAGGATGACTGATAGCACATGATTCCTAAGACAGGTACAGGGCAGACAAACAGCAGTATGCATTAAGAATATGCCTCGCTGAATGGAATATGGATAGACTTGTTTTATTTTAATTTAGTGTGTGTGTGTGTGTGTGTGTGTGTGTGTGTGTTCAGCTGTGAATGTCAAAAGACAATGTCAGGGAGTCAGTTCTCTCTGTCCACCATGGGCATCTTTAGGATTGAACTCGGGTCGTCAGGCCTGGCAGCAGGATCCTTTACCACTGAGCCACCTAGCCTACTTGAAACATTGATATTCTACAAGAGTGGTTTTTTCACAGTAAGAATAATACTAACAGAGCACTTAGCATGTAATATCCCCAGTGCTGACCAGATGCCATACAGCGAGATCTATGCTTAAGATTGCCTGGCAAAGGAAGAACAAACAATTCTCCTGGGCTTAGCACAGTGACATCATACATAGGGAATGCTTGGCATAAAGTCCTGACAGAGTGTTTGACACATCCTACAAAATTGCTAAGAGAACACTTGACAAATAATATAAAAGCTGATGCTTAACCTTAAAATTATAATGAATTTTAATAAATATATATACATATATCTATATATAGAACTGATACGTAGTCTTTCAAAGTCATGGCTTTGATCCAGGATTCCCACCATTCTTCTTCTCATCCTGGGCTTATTTCGACTCTCTGTGGTTGATACAAGAAAGAAAAGAAATGCTAGTGAGTTCACATTGCCTACTCACCGGTCTGTTTCCTCCCGTCCTTCAAAGCCTACGATGCTTTCCTGAACCTCAGAGCCTCTGCTCCACAGGCAAACCCTCTGCTCAGAGCACAGGGACTGCTCACCTTGTCTTTGAATTCCTAAGCCAGAGGAAGGCATGGCCTGTACTTTGAGAGCTGACCTGGGATCTGGGAGCCCACAGCATCCCAGGTAGGGAAGGTCTCCAAACTACCCAGCCTTGCAGTAAAGGAAGCATGACATGTTACTTCAGCTTCAGTGTTCCACCCCTAAGGACTAGAAGTGGATGACTGATCCTCTCCCATACGAGAAAAGTGTGTATTCTGGGGCTTAGGAGATGTGTCAAAGGACCACTTACAGATTTAATCATCATCATCATCACTTTCTTCGGGATCACTGATCTCTTCATATATCACTCGATTCTTCCTTTCTCGCAACCGGTGGCGCCAGGGATTTATCCAAAATCCACCTCCTGAAATAGGGAGGGATTGATGCATGAGAGCTAGGTAGTTTAGGGCCTTGTTCTGTCTGAAAAGAACAGAGCTTGTTCCCCCTGTGAGACCATGGACCTTCTCCATTGTCACAAAGACTGTTAGCCATACAGCAGTACAGACCAAAGGCCGCTTCAGGTTATACCCATCCAGTGTAGTGTTTGGTCCCCTCCCCCATCATCTGATATAGCTTTCCTATGTTATCCTTCATTAGAAAGAGGACCCAGTTGGCATTCCCTTATATTGTGTGGATTTAAGACGTGAACCGCAGAGTATGTAGAAGACTTGTCCAGTGTCATATTGCTTTCAGAAGGACAAGTCAAATTATGATTATGAAGACCCATTCTAACATCTGAGCTGGAGCTGGGTGACCTCCTCACCCAGCAAGGCCTGGGACTTTTCAGGGCCCATGCCACATACCCAGAACATGCCAGGGAAACCAAAGTATTGCTTCTTCCATGATTTCCTCCCATCTAATGCCACCCTTCTGTCTGTCCCCACCCTTCTGTCTGTCCCCACCCTTCTGTCTGTGCTTTCTCTTGGGTGTGCAGGTGTCTCTGGGCCCTTCCTGAACCTATTGCACCTGGAACTCATGTGGGGTTGTTTTCTTCCCTTGCTGCCGCCTTCTTCATCATCTTTTGAACACTAAAGCACTTGTGCAGGCTGCTATCAGTAGCATTTCTATATTGTCTTCGAGGTTAAGTATTGTCTCTTTTTTCCTAAAGTTATACTAGCATCTGTTATTTATATATGTTGTTACTTTTCAATATGACATTTTCATATGCATATAGACTGTGTTTTGATCATGCATACTCCTCATCAGCCTCTTTTGACTCACGCCGATTCTTCCCCCCTGCTAGAGTCCCTTTTATTTCATGTCGGTTGGTATGGTGGGGCTCAAGGAGTTTAATTAGGATTACTTACATGTGCACTGGGCCTCACTGGTCTTTTCCCCTGGCAACTGTTAGCTACCTTTATATCCTCTGAGAGGGGCAGAACCTGGTGAGCCCCTCCTTCCATGACAGAATGTTGAAGGGCCCAGTCTTTTGCAGGTGTTTTTTTTCATGGATTTTCATAACATGCTAATTGTACCTGACAAAGCATTTCATTATTTGTAGCCAAATAAAAAAGAACACAGGTGTTTAAATGGGAAAGGAATGTCCTAAGTACACCATGTTTCTGGGACTAAATGTTTGCCTTTATGTTCTTCATAGACTGCCATTTATGTAAGCAAAAGAGATGTGCATTTAATTAGGAGTATGGAATAGAGACTTGGGGAAGAAAAGCACTGGCGGAACCCACAGGTTCTATGAAAGGCAGGTCATCTATAAAATATGAGGCCCCACACATAAGCTTGTGGTGCACTACGTGGACAGTAGATAAAAGAGTGAATAGAAGGGAGGAGACAGTACTGTGCCATGATGGTATGTGCAGATGAATGTAGGGGACAGAGAAGAAAGAAGGAGGCACACTGATCTCTATCAGAGAATGTGACGCCAGGTGTGGTATCATGTGGATGCTGGTAAAAGACTCCACGTGGAATTAGGTAAGGTAGTGCCTGCACCGTTTCTGCTAATATCAAGCTATTATGTCATTGGTCACTAATCATAAGCTACCTTTCATTCAACTTCCTGATTCATGCATGAGGGAGTCTATGTAGAACTGAAAGAACATTGTTTCTGAGCTTGGAAACACAACTTATTGCCTTTTATTTTACACTTATATTTTTTATTTATGTGTACATGTGTATGTTTCTGTGTATGTGTGATACATGTGTGGGTGTGTCTAAGGAGGCAAGAGTACTGTGTCAGATCCTCTGGAACTGGAGTGACAGATAATAGTGAGCCACCCAATGTGGGTGCTAGGAGCTGAACTCCTCTGGAACAACAGCAGAAACCCTTAACCATTAAGCAATTTCTCTATATTCCCTTTATTTCTTTTGTTTTTTCATTTGGTTTTGGTTTGAGACAAGATCTCTTCATGCACCCTAGAAAAGTCTTGGTCTAATGATCCTACAGAGCTCTGCAATTATAGGCATGCCAAACACACTCAAATGGACATGCTGTTTAAATGATGTAATAATAAAACTGAATACTTGCTCTTATAACCTCTTCTTTTCATTCAGTCCTTAACTGTGTCCTCACTGGCCACTAACTCTCAGTTCCCTTAACTCTCTACACTAGACTGGAACCTCCAACTATAGAAATTCCCAGTTCATAGTCAGGTGTCTCTGAGGGTTCCTCGGGGTTGGGTCTGTGGGGCAGACAGTTCCCGGGTGTAGATGTGTCCTGAAGTAGATCAGAATGGGAGGAGTCCACAGTGAAAGCCCTGTAATTTCCAGCCGGAGGAGTGCATGCTCCATTTCCAGAGCAAAGGCCAGCTGGTAGTTTTTTTCTACTTGGAAAGTGAGGGTCAGGATGAAAGAACCAACAGACTGTGGGAGAATACCTGACAAGGGGATCACCTGGATTGCAGAAATGAAAGAAGACATGAATGCATTTCAGCAGTTTGGGCTATGGACTAGAGAGCTAGTGAAACTGCTCTTTGGGCCAATAATTTAGCATGGTTGTGTTGACCCTCATTATCATACTCTAATTATTAGAATGCTGTGATTGAAGACATGCAGGCCTGGTACTGTAAATCTGACCAAGAACCTGGGGTTGCACAAGCCCTAGGAGGAACCCATGGAGTGTGCTAAATGAATATAGTACAAAGTGACCTCAAAATTCATTCTCTCTCTACCCGGAGATAGCTCTCAGACATTATCAGAGAAGTTTTGTTGTGCAGTGAGTGGTGGCTAATACAGAAGCTCCCAACTGGTTAGACTGCAGAAAGTGTCTATGGAATGCTCAGCTAGACATTGAACATCTATGTCGTGCACCTTCCTCCCAAGCTCAAGTGCCATTGCAGAAGAGGGGATAGAGAGATTGTAAGAAGCAGAAGACAAGGAAGACCAGAGCAAAATAGTGTTTTATGGACATGACAGGAGTGTTAAACTCATGAACTCACAGGTGTTGGCTTTGCCTACATAAGACCTGCATAGGATCAAGCCTGTCAGCATTCTAGCATGGAATGAGCAGGGACTCATGAGCTCCCACCCCTTTGTGAGTAGCTGTTGACAATAGATGGCTTTTGTGGGAGGGAGAGTCAGTTTTCTTTAAGGGTATGGCCCCTGTTAGGTCAACCATACTCTAGTACATAATTCCACATCCCACAGTATATAGACAGCACAAATCGAGCTTGGTTGGTTGGTTGGTTGGGTTTTTTTTTTTTTTTTTTTTTTGGTTTTTTGAGACAGGGTTTCTCTGTGTAGCTTTGGAGCCTGTCCTGGAACTCGCTTTGTAGACCAAGATGGCCTCGAACTCACAGAGATCCGCCTGCCTCTGCCTCCCAAGTACTGGATTAAGTCGTGCACCGCCGCCACCACCACCCGGCATTGGTCATTTTTAAAAAATAAAAAACAGACATGAATTTGAAGAGTGTGGGGAAGTGAGAAAAACATCTAGGAAAGATGTCTTATGTTAATTAGGTGAAAGAGTGGGGTATGTGTGAATATGATCAAAATGCATTATGTAAAATCCTCAAAGAATTAAATAAAATGCCATATTGAAAAAGAGTGACGACATTATTAAGGAACAGGAATTAGATCCAACCTGGTAAAATAGAAACGGTGGAGACGGTCACACCTTCGAATGTAAGTTTATCTTTTATATCATAGAGGTCTATTGTCAGCGGTGTCAGCTGTAAAAGAGAACCTAGGGTAAGGCACTTTGGCAAATTGGAATCTACAGTTGGTATTTCTGCCACGTGATTTAAGCTGTCCTAATTTGCTGGATAATATTTAACACAGGACCTTGCAAATAAACATCACACACCAAAATTAACCAGACCCAAAGTCTATACAACCCAGTGAACTCCCATACAGTTAGAATTGGCATTGGAAACATGTGATGCTTCACATTAAATTTTACACTTTAAGCATCAAATATATCATATACACTTATCCACTACCAAAAAGAAGACTATCCTCGCCATTGTGGACATGAACTGAAGGGCAGACATGGGGCACTCCTACGGAAATAGGTGTTACTCACCTTTAGGCGTTTTATCTGTTTCATGTCATAACTCTCTTCAGGATGTCCCTCTATGGGAAGTGACAAGTCAGAAGGTTTTGTTGGTTAGTAAATATTTCAGAAGGTCCAGATCCTGCTGATTTAGGGAATGCTAGAGCGTAGGGTTACAGTCTCCTCATGGAGGAGGGACTGGTGGAGCATGGCTCTCTCTCACTTTACTGATGGCATAGGCATTGTCTATAGTATAAGGTTAGAAGTCTCCTTATGATTGTTTATGAAATGTTGTCTCTGCCTCATCACTGACTCATCCTACCCCAGGACATTTCTTTTACCTCATAATATTAAATTGATTTCAGGAAATTTTGAACTGTATATACTTTCAGATGTGGAATAATGAAAATCTTACTTAACACATGAAATGATTTGAATATTCAGGTGTTAACTGTGTGAGGAAGGGTAAGTGATTTAGCTCAGTGTTTTGGGGACTATCTAGTGTAATAACTCTCCTTTGCTCTCAAAAACTGTGCATAAATTTCAGGCCTGGAGTTTGAGATCAAGTAAAGTGCTTGTGGGAGCTTGTGCGATCTGGCCTGCTTTCCTGGGGAGTCACTCTGTGCGTGTGCGTGTGCGTGTGTGTTGAGTTGTATCTCTGTGACAGTGTCTGCATGTATGTGTATAGGGTAGATATGTCTGCCTATGTTTAGGATGTGATATAGGGCAGTGCACATTCCAGCTGAAGATATTACCCATTTGCCATTTACTTATTATCCAAAATAATGTACATTCTTTTTAATGTTTTAGACTTTTATATGACAGGATCTTCTACATAATCCTCTGAATGAACTCTTCCACACAGCCCTAACCTGAAGAAGAAGAAGAAGAAGAAGAAGAAGAAGAAGAAGAAGAAGAAGAAGAAGAAGAAGAAGAAGAAGAAGACGACGACGACGACAACCTGCCTGTCACCTTACCAGGAATCTTGACTGAAAAGGTGATCCTTCACAACCCTCCCCCCACCACCCCACCCCCTGCAGACCACTCACCTTCACTGTCACGGCCATGAACTTTAGTACATTCCACCGGCACCGGCTTCTCTTTGGCCTGTTCCTTGCAGCGCATGAAAACTGGTTGGTTGACTGTGACCCCTAAGAGGAAGCAAAGTACTTGTTCTTTAACAGACAGCACAGAGGGGAAATGAAGCTAGGATCTGGGATGCAGCACAGACCTTAAGGGAAGACAAGTGCAGCCTGCAGGCTGAGCCCTATGGCCTAAGCTCTGTGCTCTCAGCCCTGAACACGATGGAGAAGAGCAGCGTGCTCAGCAAGCACCTTGACATTTCCCCAGGAAGAAAAGTAGCGTGTGGGATAGGGACATGCTACATTTTGAAAAGAAGCTGGGGCAAAGAAAATAACTGGGAGACACCAGACTTGTCTGAACCCAGAACTTCCTGTTACCTAGGCCCGTCATCCTGATGTAGTTTCTTTTCATATACACGTAGGCACTTTTCTGCCATTTGGTCAGCTTTGCCCACTCTTCCTCAGAAAAGTATGTAGAAATATCCTGGATGGCCTAGAAAAGAAAGAAATAGAAATTCTGGCAACTACTCTGCTGTACACGTGTGCCATTCATCCCAGAATACCCTCTGTGTTGGAGGACCTCGGTAGTCCATCTAGAAAATCAAGATGATTGATCCTTGGAAATGTGAGGGTCAAGTAAGAGATGTGAATAACAGCCATTTCCCAATTACAGTGGAAATGCTCAGTGCTGGTTATTAGTTCTCCCCCCCCCCCCTTTACAAGGAGCTAAGTGTCACCAAATGCATTTAATACTAGATCACCAATCTGAAGTCTTCAGGGACTCTGGAACAGGACTTACTGAGTGCTCACTCGAGTATGTGTGCGTGTGTGCATGCATGTGTGTGGAGATAGAAATCCTGAGCCTTATGGAGGTCCTGTGGAGACTTTGGTCCTTGTCCTGAGTGCCTCTGGTTTCCCCCTTCTGAGAACTCTTTCTACCATGGCCCTTGGTCACTCAGCTGCTTCTGCCCACCCCTGATCACCTCACCTCACATATGTTCTTTGGCTCAGGAGTCTCTTCCACAGAGCTCTTTACACAGGAACTCACTGTTTTCATGTCAGTAGGACTAATGGGATTTTGAAAAGACACCATCTAATTTTCTTCCAGCACTAAACAAAATGTCCTGTGAAGGAAGGAGCATGTATGAAGTTAAATGGAGTCTCCAAGAGTGGGTCAAGCTTCTGTCCTGATTATTTGCCCTGGAACGTTCATGGAGATTAAGAGCGGAGAGAAAGATATTGAATTGGGCAAGCACAGACACATGTTCTCAGCCATATGAGGAAAGGGAAAACTGATTTCATAGACGGTAAGAATGAGACAGTTGTCACTGGAGATAGGTGGCGGGGAGTACAGAAGAAGGGGAACAACAAACACCCAATCCAGGTAGGGAGGAAGGAGAGCTGCTAGAATTTTGCAGGACACTTTAGTGACTACAGCTTATAGCTCCATGTGGTGAGTTTGTAAAGAAGGGAGAGGGAAGCCAAAGGTCCATTCCTATGCCTGTGATACAAAATAGGTGGGAGGCTGAGGTAGAAGGATCCTATGTTCAATGCCTGCCTGAGCTACAAAGTGAGATCATGGCCAGGCTGGGCAATACGTAGTTAAATCCTGTAGGATTCCTTCCTACCTACCATGTAAGAGGCCCTTGCATTCATTTCCCAGTTTTACCAGAAAACAGTAGAAGACATGATGAATACATAAGGACAGAGAAATATGAATTACCCATATTTGATAAGCACACACATATGTGTATCTTAAATCACCATACTAGATTTTAATTGTGTATGCACTATTGTTGTCTATCAATTAAAATAAATCCTGAACAAAACTCAGAACAGATTCTCTTAGGAAGCTGGGCTTGGTGGTGAACACCTGTGTTCCTAGCACTTGGGATAATGAGATAGGAAGATGGGGAGAGTTCAAGGCCATCCTGTAGCACATATGTCTCAGAAAAAGAAAAGCAGTGTGAAAACTGACATGTCTGTGTTAGTGAGGCAGCAAAGGGACTTCAAAATAGGTTTTACTCTTTCATTACATTTTTATTTGGAGTGTATGTGTATGTGTGCTCATGACCCCCATGCCATGATATGTCTGTGGAGATCAGAGAACACCTTACAGGAGTCTGTTCTCCCTTCTACCATGTGGGTCCTGACTATCAAACTTAGGCTTAGTGGCTGGCACCCAACAAAATAAGAATGCTCTCCTCTTTATTAAGCTGTTTTCCTCTGTAAATGTGTTTTATTATTTATTAGCTTTTGTGGTTAGATTTCAAAAGATGGCTTTCATGCTGATCCACTCATACATGTATCCCATTATACTTTTCTTTTTTTTTTAAGCCAATAGAAGTCTTATTAGCAGGTCCAGGATCCCAGTGTATACCCGAGCTTTCTCAGGGTGAGCTTTTTTTAATCTATTTACTTATTTATTTGAATTTTCTGTCCCTTTTACATACCAACCACAGATTCCCCTGTCCTTCCTCCTCCCACCCCCCAGCCTTCCCCCCCAACCCACCCCCCATTCCCACCTCCTCCAAGGCAAGGTCTCCCATGGGGAGTCAGCAGAGCCTGGTACATTCAGTTGAGGCAGGTCCAAGCCCCTCCCCCTGCATCAAGGCTGTGCAGTGTCCCACCATAGGCACTGGGCTCTAAAAAGCCTGCTCATGAACCAGGGATGGATCCTGATGCCACTGCCTGGGGCCCCCTGAACAGTTCAAGCTCAACAACTGTCCTGCCTATATTTCACCTCCCTGCTCCTTCCCTGTAGTCTCTCTTCCAGCTTTAGATACTTTCTTAATTTCCCACTATTAATACCCTTCATAGCCTCAAGGCTATTAGGTACATATTGTTAAATGTAGACTTTTCATTTTGAAGACAACCTTAGATATTTAGTGTTCTTTTTTTTTCAATTTCAGTCACTTGCTCACCTCTCAACCCAGCAGAATTTTTTTCCTTCATCAGTAAATAAATGCTTTAACCTTTTATTTTTATTTTAAAAAAATTAACAGACACAATAAAGTTTTAAATAAAAAACACATTTCTGGGAACCTGCTGAAATTTAAATCCATATGTCTACATTATTACTGACTCAATTTTTTCCCTGGAGACATGGTATGGACATGATGCTAAGCTGACAGAGAAACTCTGGGCTCAAGTAATTCCCCTGTATCATCCTACTAAGTAATTTAGATTGCTGTTTTATGGTATAGTGTCCTGTGACATGTGTACATATTCTGAGATGAAGTTGGTGAGGGAATTGCCTCCGGTTTTAATTTCTCCCCAACTCATGGTTTTCAGAGGTCAACGAAAGGGATATATGATGCTCTGTGGTGCTAAAAAGAGGTGGATCTGTTAAGTAGAGTGTGAATTCCTGGGCTAATTTAGAAATTCCTGCTGAGATAAAAGAGCTGGAACCTCCACATCTACCAGACCAACTGTCATGCAGAGTAAATCTGATGTGTCTCAAGGTATTGGGGTCTGACCTCACACTCAAGTCATCAGAAAAGTTTAGTGAGTGGACATTGAGGTATCTCTGGGACCATGAAGACTGTAGCTTTGTCCAAGAGGCAGTTGGGAAGTAGCTCTCTAATGAAGACTATTTGGTGACATTGAGGATGGAGGAAATCTCAGGCACATAGGTAATTTCAAAGTTTGTGAAGCTAAGAGGCATACTACTGCTTCCCTCGGAAATAGTGTGACATGAGTCTGTCAGATGGTTATAGTTTCTAGGATCCTTGAGGAATTTCCCAGGAAGGGTTTAGCTCAAAGCACAGTCCTAAGTGTTAAAGAGAGCGGAAGACACAAGTACTTGGTTAGTCTACACAGGCTCTTAACTTTTCTATCGGCTCACATTTAACTTATTGGGGCATCCCACAGAAAGAACCTACCTCACATAGGACGAGATGAAGGAGTGTTTCTCCAGAGAGAGATCGAGTATCTTGATTCAGCTGAGCCTAGAGGATCAACCAACTGCCTCAGGAAAGTGGACGCGGTAACTGAGGTGAGAATGCAGTGTGGGACCCCAGAGTTCCGGAACAGTAATGCATCACAAGGGGCGGGGGGGGGGGGGGGGGGGGGAGGGGGGGGAGGTACTCCCACCTAAGGTGATGTCATCATTCATGGCACTGGCCACTCCAGGACCTGCTGCCCTGTTGAGATGTACATTTCTAGATTATGTCTAGACTCTATTGTACCCTCTACTGTGCGGTTGTTCATCTAAAAAATGGCTTACCATTTCAAATCCTCCTCAGTACTCCTTAATCAGTCTAACTGGGATCTCTCTACAATAAACTAATAACATGTCAATTATTTATTAAGGAAATTATTAAAGTTGAAATTATTCTTACATATGCTATTTCCCCAAAGATCCAGGAGCTTGCTTTCTATTGAGAGTCTTATGAATAATAGTGCACAGTGCGCATGAGATTACAGTTTATTGTGCTCTTTAAGGGGTTCCCAAGTGCTTCTGTTAGGAAGGGTTCTCTAATAGTGTGTGTGTCTCTCTCTTAAAAACACACAAGAACACAAACATGAAAATTAAAATAAAGAAGAAAACAATAAGGTAAAAATGCCAAAACAAAATGAAACATCCCCCCAAAGAAAAACCCCACAGAGTTCATTTTATGTCGGCCAACTACTTACTTCACAGTATGGGGCCCGCCCTGGAGTGTGGTTGATACACCCAGTGACAACCCATTGGAGAAAACTGATTTTCCCTTTGCCAGCAGATATCAATTGCAAATAGCTTTTTGGTTTGGTTGGTTTGGGTGTCCACTTTTTCCTCCAAGTGCTGAGACCCCATCTGACTTGGACTTGTGCAGGTCTTGGGTATTCCTCAATCTCTGTGAGTACGTTATGTGCATCAATTCTGTTGGGTCTAGAAGACACCATCTCCTTGGACTCATTCATCACCTCTGACTCTTAAATTTTTCCACCTCCTCTTCTGCATAGATCCATGAGCTTTGAGAGGAGAGCCTGAGGAAGACATGCCATTTAGAATTGAGTGCTCCAAAGTCTGTCTCACTCACTGTACATTTTCCAGTTGTGGCTCTCTGTGCTAATTCACATATACTGTAAGAAGTATCTCTAAAGAGCGTTGAGACACTAATCTATGAGTATAGCCGTATGTCATTAGGAGTCATTTTATTTCTATGTTTCTTTAGCAAAATAATAATAGTAGGTTTTCCCCTAGGCCCATGACCTATCTAGCCTCAGGTTTTTGACCGCTTAGCAGTGTTAGTATGGATCCCATCTCATGGACTGGGCCCTAAGTCTGTTGGTTACTCCTATAACATTTGTGCCCTTATTACACCTTATTACAAATATCTTTATTTGTTTTGTTTTACAGCACTCTGTAGCTTCTGTATTTATTTTTTATTTATTTTACATACCAATGACAGTTTCTCCTCCCTCCTTTCCTCCTGTTCCCTCCCCCTACCTCCTTTCTAAACCCCCCCCCATCCACTCCTCAGAAAGGGTAAAGCCTCCTATGGGAGTCAACAGCACCCATGGCATATCAAGTTGAGGCAGAACTAAGCTCCAACCCCCTGCATCAAGGCTGAGCGAGGCATCCCATCATAGGGAATAGGTTCCAAAAAGGCAGCTTATGTGCCAGGGACAAGTCCTGGTCCCACTGCTAGGGACCCCACAAACAGACCAAGCTACACAACTGTCTCCAACATGCAGAGGGCCTAGGTCAGTCCCATGCAGGCTCCCTAGCTGACAGTCTAGAGTCTGTGTGCTCCCACAAGCTTGGGTCAGCTGTCTCTGTGGGTTTCCCCATCATGATCTTGAACCCCCTAGCTCCTACAATCCTTTCTCCCTCCCCCTCTTCAAGAGGACTCCTGGAGCTCGTCCCAATGCTTGGCCATGGATCTCTGCATCTGTTTCCATCAGTTACTGGATGAAGGCTCTATGATGACAGTTAGGGTATTCACCAATCTGATCCTAGGGTAGGCCAGTTCAGGTACCCTCTTCACTATTGCTAGTAGTCTAAGCTGAGGTCATCCTTGTGGATTCCTGGGAACTTCCCTAGCTCCCTGTTTCTCCTATACACATGCTGTCTCCCTCTATCAT